TCCCCCCATCCCTCCATCCCTCTTCCCCTCCTTTCCTCCATCCCTCCATCCATACCCCCAGCCTTCCATCCCTCCATCCCTCTGCCTCCCCCATCCCCACAGCAGCATCGGGAAAGGTTGGCGGAGTGGGGCTATTTTTGGGAGCGTCTCCCTGGCAACGGCTGCCAACACCGTCTGTGGTGGCTTTTCCATAGGTGCTAAAATATTCCACGCTTCTTATTAAAGACGGTGCCGGTGGAGACGGGCGGGGGTGGCGAGTGTGAGCCACCCCGCTGCCGGGGCCGGCGGGCCTGGGGTGGCCGGGGCATGGCACCCTGGGGGCACAAGGACAGTGAGGGGCTGGTGGCATCCTGGATGCAACGTCCCCATGTCCCTCCCAATGGCCCCGGCCATGCCGGCTGCCTCTTGGCTGTGCCAGGGTGCCGTGCCGTGCACAAGGTGCAGCTATTCATCCTCTTGCTGCCCAGGCGGAGGGAAACGCAGCAAGGTCTCAGGGGGAGCCGGCAATGAGGAGCGAAAGGCAGAGAGGGTGAAACCCAACCTGAAGCCGAGGGGGCTGCAGGGGTGCAGGGGTGCCTGGCGGCTTCACCCGCCCGGGGAAGGAGCAAGATGTCTCAGCAGTATCTTCATCCCTTGTACAGAGGGGAAAGGCCTGCTGGGGTGCCAGAGGGCCGGTACGCTTTCCGGCGGGGCACCCATGCAGCTCCCAGGCAGTAGCTCTTGGGATACAGCCCCACGGGCCCTGGGAACGGGTCTTTTGGGAAAGCAAGTGCCCCCCTGAACCTGAACAGGTCCCCATAGCGATGGCTGCAGAGGGGATGGAGGGAGCAGGCTGGCCCTGCTCCATCCGGGCGCCGCAGCTCCCTGGGACCCCTGGTTCAAGCTGCGGGGAGCAGCCGCAGTTGGGCCAGGGTGAGCTGGCCAGTGCAGGAGGCTGCCGTGCTCCCTGTTTGCAGCTGCTCATCTGTGCGGATAGCTGCTAAAAATACCCTCTGCTTCCCCTGGGGTGGCTTTGCCAGGTGAGAGTGTCGGTGCTCACTGATGCTGGTGTGGGACGGCAGTCCCTGCAGCGTGTTGTGCAAGAGGGCATCCCTGTGCCAGGGGATCTTGGGATGATTTTGGGAAGGAGGGTCACGGTTGCTGCAGGATTGGGACCCAGAGGGCACTCAAAAAGTGGTTTTTTGATCTTTTTTTACTTTCTGTCAGAGGCCTTAATGTTGGAGATGGCAGATGAGACACTGAGATGGAAACCATGCCCACGGGCCCCTCTGGCCTGGTGCAGGGCTGTCCCTGGGAGCCTGTGCCTACAGCTGCTGCCTGCGGGTTCAGGGCTCTCTTCGGCCTCCAGCTTCCCTCCTGCACGAAAGGGGCAGCTTCAGTGCCACAGGGTCCTCCGGACCCTTGCCTTGCCACCTAGAAGTGACCTTTTCAAAGCCCCTGAGATGCTGCTGGCCATGGAGACCCAGGGGAGGTTTCCGGGTCGGGTTTCCCGGCGGGGTGGCTGTGCACCATCCTGGAGCCCCGAGGGCTGGTCCCTCCTTGCCGGTGCTCCCGTCCCCAGCATCACCCGTCCCGACAGGACGGCCCCAGCACTGCAGGGTGGGGAAGCCGAGCTGTGGATGCGGTGAGGCGATGCCCCGCGGCAAATGCTCTGCACGAGCCAGGAGAGCCTGGCCTTTCCTCAAGGCGAGATGTCAGCCCAGCACCCCAAATCCAGGTGGGAAAAAACCCCCGACAGTGGATATTTCAGCCCCTTGCGCCAGCCCAGCGTGAGGATTCACCTCCCTGGGGGCACCCGGCGGCCCCACCGGCCCCTTCCCGCTGATGATGGTTGCGCTCTTGTCTCCCCCATGGCGGCTCCGCAGCGGTGCCTCCGCGGCTCTGAGCTCACACGCGAGGATGGGCTAAAGTAGCGGAAAGCTGTTGGATCCTACCACAGAGTTACTGACTTCTCAGCTACAGACTGCATAGCAATCAGCGAGGGGGAGAGGCAGCCAGGGAAAGGGAGCAGAGCGCAAAGGGAGGAAGAGTGGAAGGGAGAGGGGGGATTTGGGGATCGGAACAGGAGGACAGTGAAGGGCATGGGTGAATAATGCCAGGGAAGGAGGGAGCCAGGCAGGAGGGGGAGACCTGAACCCGTCGCCGAGCCGCGAAGGCACATCAGCGCTCTGTGGGATGGACGCTCCCGGGAGCGAAAAATGCTGAGGAGAGGCAGAGGCAGGAGGAGAGCGCTGGCGTGGGCAGGGCAGAGTTAGGAGAGGAGCAGGTCGCGGTGGAGAAGTAGCTCCTCGGGGGGCAGGGGGGAAAACCCCAAGCCAGAGGCGAGCAAGGGCTGCAGAGAGACCTCCCCGATTCCTCCGGTCCAGCTGAGACGTTTCATGGTGAGATGGAGAAACCGTCCGCTTTCCGCTTCCTCTGATGTTGGCTCGGCACGGCTGGAGCAGGCGGCAGCCCTCGGCAGGACCCGGGTAAGAGGCGGTGCCGGGGCGCGCTGCTCCCCTCACCGGCATGAGACTGGGAAGGGTTGTTTTTTTTTTCTCAGGAAAAAAATGTATTGTTTCATCTGTGCTCGCTCTGAGGAACAGCTATAAATATAACTTCGGGAGAGATGCGTGGCTTCATGTGAGCGTGCCAGTGAATAATAAAGTTGCCTGTGTGCACGGCATATGCACATACGGCTACCGGGGCGGCCACGGGCCGAGGGGCAGGGGTTGGTTCCCTGCCTGTAAACCTCCCCAACTTCCCTCCCCTCCCCTCGCTGCCCTGACTTCGGTTGCTTTGCAGGTAACTTCTTCATTTTTTCGGCTCCCTGTGTTTCCTTAGCACCTTCTTGCCCGTGGCTGGGTCTTGCTCGCCATTCGTTTCTCCTGCCCCGCACGGGCAATGGTCCCGGCCGGTTCCCTAAGGCAGCCT